AAGCCTGCCATGTATCTAAGCATTGGCTTACGTCGCCATTATGAATACAATTATTCTTGTTTTGTTCACGAACTCAACGTAACGAAAACGGTTAACTTACATTTTTTAAGCCTCTGGAATTGGATAACGAAAAACTTCGATAAACTTTCAATTGGTTTGTACAATGAAAACGGATTATGCTTGCAACCTATATTGCAAGACTATGCAGAAAATGTTTATCGTGTAATTTACGAATGAACGAGAATATTATCTACGACAACAGGTAATATCGTAAATAAAAAACACCTAGGTGCGGAAAGTATAATACAATAATATTATATTATATATAAAATAAATAAATCAGAAATAATAATAACAACACTAGATCCGCATTGATTCAATATAAACTTATCATTGTACAATAATTACGCACTCGACGTTACACGAATGGGCAGATATGAAAGAACACAAAATGACTGAGCGAATTATCAATTACTGTTAATTTACCAATGCTGAAGATACTAGCCGATAGAAGCTGCTGTTAATTGAGCCTCAATGAAGAGCTTGATGTTGGAAAGTGATAGGGCCAATATTACATTGTTCTAGGTAAGCTAAAGGTGATCTGGCCGTGTTATGTAACTGATTGAGACCTCGAAATAAACAATGATACAAGGTCGAGAATCGTTAATCAGGGACCCTTTTTTTTTTCTAATGCCTGTTGTGATTGTATTAGGAAGTACAGTCAGGAGAAATGAAGAAATCTATAGAAAAATAGCGGCCTATTTAAAAAAGCAAAACTATTCATTTTTATTTACATTAGATTATCTTGTTGAGAGAGAAAAATAGAAATAACTGTCATTATGAGAAATATGGCATCAATGAGCACTCAGTTCACTAAGGAAACACAGGCTGCATAATTGGATATTTTCTTTTTTTTGGCAAAATAAATCGTGGAGCAACATAAAATCAACTTTGCATATTGTTTAAATAAACGTGTACTACTGAAGACTTCTATGTAGGCCAATGGAAGAAGGACACTGACTGATTTCTAATAACATTATAGATTAATCCATTAACTAAACATCGATGATTGAAATGAAAATTAAGTGTAAAGCAATCGCTATAAAAACGATGAATAAGATGTATATCGGTATAAATGATAAGCTTATCGACCAAACGCCATATATAATAGAACAAATATGAAAAATAATTTTGTGTATAGTAAACTAAAAAAAAGTATGCCTATATTTAAGCCTATGGTGTGGCGCAATCGCAGGTCGTACGCTGCTGGGGGTATGTCGATGGGTCTGAATCTGCAAACTTCGGATACTTATAACCCTTTGGCCGCTGGGAATTTGGATGCCATTTCTTAGGCGAGTACCAAAGCAATCTGAACCTATGCAAGCCAAACTCGCTCGACACGAGCTTGAGGACTTGCGCGACCTGTATATAAAATGCATTAATGTATATTAACTGAAGCTAGAAGTACCATCGCCAAAACAGCTCTTTGGTCACTATAAAGCTCGGCAAAAAAAACGTTCGAGGGTCTCGCGTAAACCAAACGACGTTGTCGGACAAGCTCGAACTGAAGCTGAGATTCAAGGGCTTCATAACCCACGTTTTAGGTCGGCAGGTCTTTTGCTTTATAAGGGCGGTAAGCGTGAGGATCTTCATTGAGTTAATTTGCAGAGTTATGTTTTTATAGTTTGAGCATGTTCTACATCGAACCCAGTACGTAGGTATCATTTTCTATTAATGTAGAAAACGGGGGCATATGGATGTGCATAGTTCATAAATTTAGTCATACGTAATACAGCGACTACGTGAGCACCGTCCGGTTCCAAAACGAAGCGTGTGTGTATAACGTACCCATTCAAGCCTTTCGAGCCACGCAGTTTTCACGGCACCGATGATGACGCATTAACGTTTGCGACATTGTTGGTTGCCGGTAATAATTGCAATTGGAACGTTGAGTCGTTTACGCTTCTTTTTGTATCTGCCTGCTAATCTTAAGGACACGCTGTGGTTCAACTCGCGTATAGACATACGTCGTTTCGTGCTGGAAGCCTGCCATGGAACGCCCAACGGCGATGCCGGACGCAAAACTAGAAACATAAAAAGGCTACAACGAAGGTGGGTTTCAAAATATTAAGAAGTCCCGAAACACAAGAGACAAGCCAGGAACGATATTAAGTACTGTCTGCACGAATCGATTAGATTTTAAGGACACCCAACCAGGATAGCATGACCGATACAATACAGCGTAGAATATAATAATAAGCTATATTTAGCGGATATAGACACCTAAAGCGAACGATTGTTTGTACCTGTCAATAATAAGGTGAAGTTGGATTTGTTTTTATTAACACCAATGTCTGTTTGTTCTAATCTGATTTATTATTATCAAATCCAGACTAGTGTAGACCTTATCTCGTATGCCTGTTGACAATCGTCCAGTTGAAGCTACGCTGTTCAGCATTTGTCCCCAAAATAGAAAAAAATGCCTATACTCCTTCAAATATCCTTTAAAGCTTTCGTAAGGTAGTACCTCATTTCACATACCTTGTCTCTCGATGGAACGGAATAGGTCATCACTGACGGATAATACGGCCCCTCATGCAGACACTCAGACGTTCCATCCTCTTTGCAGTAACATTGTATATGAAGTTTAGGATCTCGTTAAAAACAAATAGTCGTACACAGTTTTGCCGTGTGCTCTACAAATGATGTACTAACGCAGCGGAGCATTCAACCTGTGTCGGCGGAACCACTGCTTACTCCCTATCTCTTCAACTAGTTAACGTCAGTCCAGGCGGTCAAAGCTAGATAACTTGCTCGACGTGCCACTGCAACCGTCAATGCAGACTAAAATCAATGGAAAGCTAAACTTGCATTATAGATCGTACAGTTGTTCTAGGCCGCTCCTTATGTAAGTCTCTAAAAGACATGGCCAAAGGCAGAACGTCATATCATACTGTTTTTTTCTTTATTTATTGCATATATATATATATATGTATTTGACTGTTGCCAATATATCTGGTTTAGGATAATCGTTCCGAAGCCGAAAATGCCCCTGGTGGGATTTTCGTTTTGCCATAGTTTATAACGATCCTTTCGATGGCTATTTTTTTAGCACTTTGACTCCGTGAACGTTCGGTCGTATATAGGAATTATGCTTTGAACTTTGACAATTCGTATAGTGGCGTCCCAACTCACAAATAGTTGACAAAATCAACGCATGTATCCGGCTGTTGCAAGGTAAATGTTCATTTGTACTAGAAGACGTTGCTAACGCTATAGAAGCCTAACATTATGGGGCAAACCTAGCACATTTCATCTGCAAGTGCCATAATAGCTCAAAGAAAGCAAACATATTCTTACACGTTTCCGCGCATAGCGTGCTTGCCACGCTTGTCCGATCACGAGTCCGTCATTACCAGAACATTAGTTGACTTAGAATGGAAACGGTATAAATAAGCATACAATCAAGTATTCTAGGCACGGTTTTTTCCATAACCCAGGTCTGAGCTCAAGTGAACTAAATAAAAGCCGTATTCATAAATACTGAGGCCCTTTTATGTAAGAAACTCTATATTAATGCACACGAGAACGCTGCCTCATGAATAATATCAATGGGACAATTTCAGCATATTAGCATTGTTTATATATTATCGTATGGATAGCTGACATAAAATCACGATAACTCACAATGGGTTTCGGTATGGGTCGTTTTTAGTGTGGGTTCGCACGGGTGAGGAGCATCACTGTACATTGAACCCACACTGAAGATAAGCATTGGTGCAGTGGGTAAGAAAAGCAGCCTTTGAAAGAAACTGTGGCGGCAGTCCAACAATTAGACGTCGAGAAGATTTGAAAAGGAAGTCAAAATATTTCTGTGTTTAGTTTATTATCGTTACATACGCCTGTGGCAGTAGCAGCCTTTACCATCACAAATATCAGCTACGGTAGCAAATTTACAATGGCCATATTGGGCACCAATTTCAACTGCCGTATTTCTCGCTTTCTAAAGTCCCAGAAATAGGCTTACAAGATGCTTAGGTTTTGCATGCTGTTAGATCCACACAAGCGCGCTATTCAGCCGTCCACTCAAAGTGATGTTTTCTACAACGACTTAGTTAATTCTAGTTATATTTAATAGCTGACAGAATCTACCTATTCCTTTATTTGTAGGCAAACAATTAGTTAGTTCGTCGTTTTTATTGATTTAGCAGAATATTTAGAGATCCTCAAAAACCTATTACATTCGTTTGGTGAAAACGAATGAGGGTGTGCTGAAACTCTTAACATTGACTGCTGTACATGTACCATAATTGACCACGTGACATTTGGAAGAGTCCGAACCTAACTTGCACACCTTGTGCTTCGATTATGCGCTGACGCCTTTAAATGAATGAATACGATACACTTTTTGGCAGTATCTTATCACACTGCCTTTACATATGGTACCATAGTCGTGTTGTCGAAAATAACGCTCGGACAAAATGTCTGAGAACGAAGAATTAGCAAAGGTTTGAGGAGGCAACAATATAGCTTGCTACATAAAAAAAATGGAACCTAAAATTGAAGCGGTTGAAGAGTTATGCGCATTTGAAGTGTGCGCATTCGAAGTCAACGACATCTGCCTTAAAATATAAAACTCCCAACGGCAATAACGTAATAGTAAGACATGTCCTTGATTGATTATTACCAAATTTCTTTCTTAATATTCATTCTATCGTACGCACGCTTGATCTTTCAAGCCATCGCTGCTTGTTCGGCGAGCATCTATATTAGCCGCACAGGAACATTGTTGCAAATACCCACGAGTAGCACTCGGTCAGAGGAACGAACACCGCACCATGCGAACGACATATTCAAAATAGGACGAAACCCTGCTGATGAGTCCGAAGCGTCTGTACATATGCTATGACTCTATATTTGCTACCTGAATTTTACTTCATATTAACGCCTCAGAAAACCGAATAATTTTTCCCTACCTACGGCTATCGAAGACAGCTAAATTTCAATCATTTTTGAGTGTTTTTTATTTAATACGGTCGTAGAATAACTTGGACCATATTCGTTATTAGTCAATAGTGAATATTATTACAGTTTCAATATGATCATATCGTATCAAAATGACGAAACCTTAGAAGAGATAACTGTGTTTTTGCTCGTTGGCTGGTATGACACTTCCCGGTCGCTGTTTTCGAAATTTCGTTCCGTCCATACAATCTAACTGATCATATATAATCGTGAAGGCAACTAGTTTTTTTCGTTGTACGATGCAGCCTACTCTACCGGAGGACAAAACTCGCCCAACGTTTTTCCAGGTACATAGACGTAGTCGTAGTCGTTCTGAAATGAGACGCATTTGCTTGAGCAATTAGGATACGCCGATGAAGAATTGTACATTCGCTATACATTAGTTAAAATAAAAGCTCATATTGTATGTTAATGTGACAGCAAAACATTACTGCGCACCTACCTCTCCACCGAGCCATTTTGGCAAATTAGATGCATCAATCTCTTGGAGCAGCTCCCTCTTCGTTCTGAACGTAATTATTTTCTGGGCCTCAGGGGGCAGCAACGACTTAATGATTTTCCATGTCGCTATAAGTATTTGCAAAGAACACAATGACAACAACAGCGAGCTTACTATCTGATCGGCGAGTAATTCACACCAAATAAATGGACCGCATAGATAATACATATGTCCGAAGGCTAGGAGGCAAAAGTAAGATAGCAACTGTGCGCGATTGAAAATGTACAACACTTAGCACGGGGCAAACTAGGTCTACTATTGAAACGGATGATTTTTTAATTATAAATTTACGTTTCCTACGTCTTCAAGCTCATTTTTCCTATATACATGTCTACGATCTAAAAACTTCTCTTACTCAGTTGCAGACCTACTTTTGCCTCGTGTAATTCTCTAATTTTTGAGATCTTGACGCTGGCTGGGTTTGATACCTACCGCTCAGAATCCAAGGCATCTCAACAACGTAGATCCTTTCTAGAACGTAGGGATAATAATCCTTGAAGATCGTAATGATATACTTAATACCTTCGATGTCCTGTGAAAACGACATATTAATAACAGACAATTGAGCATAAATATAGAAGCTACATTTTTCGACCCTGGTTCCACCGCCATTTTGGTTTTTCAGGGGGAACCACATGATCAAATACATTCAGGTTCACCGGTAAAACGGTTCAAACTGTTTAAAAAAAAAAACGTAACGCGAACAAAAACAATTGTTGTTATGAATATCATCCGTATGAAAAAGCATCAGCATGTATTTAGCGCGATGAGACACGTCATTACCGTGGCTTCAGCTAGTTAGCTTGATATTTGTCGATAAGGCTTCAATAATATCTTCAATCGGACGACATCTCGGCAAATGCAATTTCTCTAGGTCAATGCCGTACGACAGCTAATTGTTGGCGTGCAGGAACGTTTCAAAAATATCACTACGACCCAAAATGGTCGCCGTTTACATGGACGTTTGCTCTACACCCATATTTGTTTGTTTTGTACGGGTTGGCCCTTTTCGGCCGATCGATGTACCAAACAAATAAATGATTGTCCCATGTTATAAAATCTTTCGGCTAAATATATGTAGAAAACCCAGAACCATCAAGTTTCTTTCACTCTCTCACAATCTCTCTCTACAACTCGCAGCAGGCGAAAAACAAACGAAATGTTTGCTGGGCTTTGGCTATGGCCTTGAAGTGTTCTCGTCAATCAGTCTCGCATCGCTTCCATCTGGACGTTCGGCTGCGTTCAAAAGTCCCAAGCAAAGTGGCCAGTAACGATAAGAACAGTAGCAGCAATAGCCCAGAAAACCTGTGCATAACGCGCGCTTGCGCCGCCTACCGTACCGGTACTGGGTGGGCACGAGGCTGGGCAAGTGAGCAAGAATCATCGTTAGAAGTCTGAAAGCGATATCCACAACGACCAGATAGACTCTGCGATTGAACGATATAGCGACTTCAGACTCACAAGAGCTTGAATCACATAAATCTGAGTTCCGAAGCAAGCGCATAGCTGTTATTAATGTAGCATGTAATACGAGTACTTGTGTAATTAGCACTTATAAAAATCATGGACGCTAAGAACCGTTTTATTAAGAAGTGAGCAAGTTGTTTTCATTAATTGTATCAAATATATGATCTTTTTAGCAAATGTTTATGCGCGAAGAAGATCTAGATGGCTCCTGTAATCTTACAGCCAACTTCTGAATATGAAGAAACTCTTGGTCGTATTGTACATCCCACGCTCCTATCATCGTACATTCCGTTGCTGTTGACGTGTACTTAAATGAAATTGCAATAAAATTAATTCTATTTTACATTGGCGTAACGGCTCGGGTGGTTGAGTGTTGGGAGTCACTGATTCAAGCTCCGTTAGCAATCATAGATTGTACATGACTTTGAGCATTTTTAAACATTTACTCGAAACACAGAAAGCATGGCTCTATTTATACTTATTGTTCCCATTAATTTCTCCTTAATAAATTAAAAAAATAGCGTGCAATAAAATAGACAGCAGTTCGACGTACGCATTGCTTACCGTGTTGCTGACTCCGGCCGCTTGGCAATCGAACATAAAGACCAGTCTTTTGACGCCGCGCTCGATAACCATAAGTTCGACGATGTGTGTTATCAATTTCTGATGTTCCAGTCTCTCCTGAGCGTTTTTGGGTTTGAAGTGGTGCCGACACCGAAATATCACTGTAGAACGAAGAGAGAAACGTATCTGGTTTGTTTATGTTATCGTAGGAATTTTGCACGACTAGAAAGTGCCACGGGCGAACGCTGCTCGTGATGTTTTCCTTCGAATCTCCAACAGCCACTTCGTCGGAAAGGTACATAGCGTCTAGGCGTACTTTTTTCTAGGGCTCGGTATTTTGTTGATTGTAAACTGAAAACGCTAGAGCCTACAAACTGTACAACAATGTTTAATTAGGGAACCGATGACACTTCATAACTATACTTACGCATGCGGAAACTGTGAATTGGCCTAACGTGCCGTTAGGGACTGTAAGCGATGCAGGCCTTAATAGTGATTGTACTGTTCATGTTATTGCAGAGATATCAATGGTATTTTTCTGTCTTGTTAACTCTGCTAGAACATACTTATCACTGTATAATCGATTCAACGTTGACGCCGTCGTAGAACCCAATTGTTAGCGACAAATCGGAAACTGCTCGTTGGCATATGTAAATTCTCTTAATTTCAGAATTTCCTTCGAAAGAAAACGGCCTTCTTTAGGGCCGCTTCGTAATTAGCTTTAAAGATTAAACCAAATTTCGCAACAAGCCAATGTTTGCGCTATATATATTGTGTATAAACTGGTTTCATCTAGTCCGCTGTTAACAATGTGTACTACCTAGTCTATTCCAGACTCTCCTTTCCAGCTGCGAGAACATCTCACCACTGTTATCGGTTGTTGCTAAAAAAGACCGGTAACAGAACTTTTCGAAAGTATACTATGTAGTTTTCTTTCTAAATTATAATTCTGCGTATTCGACCAAACAAGTGACCAAACGAGCAAGCATCGAACATTTCCTAATGTTTCAACTCTTCTTCCATTCAGATTCAAGACAGGCAGTTTTGAAAAAACGACGCTTCACTACTAACTTTGCTAGAAAATTCGATAATACCACATGTAGGAATATTGGCAACCCTGGGAATGGGTACGCTGGTGAGAAGGTATACGTATTTGAGATTAAAAAAGATGACCAGATTGGTTATATATATGGTTATATGGAAGCAGCAAGAGCTATGCCGACGGAGCTGTTACCGTAGGGCCATGTTCTGTTGTCTAAAGGTTATCACTGCCTTCAGAAGCAGTATCAACAGAAACACGAATGTATAACAAGATGCGAGAGAACGAAAAAAGTATATCGAAGCGAAGGAGGAGTAAGCGAACGTGGCCAGAGGAGGTCAGGGATCGCCGATGACCGGACGCGTGATTTGTTATTACCATTGCGTGATAAAATATCTCAAAATAAATGCTAATGGCGCAATTTTGTCATGAACATTCAAACTATGACCTATTTAGAGTAAATCATTTATTACGGTAAAGGAAGATTCACGTTTCGGTGGTGGCTACGTCAAAAAATGACTCTTCGCTGATGAGGTCTGTAGTAAAAATAACGATGAGAATGAAATTTAGAACACCTATGTATTGAATAAGGCAAATGCTTACATGTATACCAGCTAACCCAAACCAAAATTGCGGTGGTTGTAATTTACCTGTGACCGGTAATTCTACGCTACGTGCGAATGAACTCGGTGTTGATAATTAGCTTTCTCTAGTTTGTATTCTAAAGTTCGTCATCGAAAATCGTTGTTGAGTGCAAAATTTTACGCCCGCCATAAACACACACATAGGTATAGTTCCATTGAAAAAGAAGCCTTCCTATTAATCCTGTCAAATACTATAATAATCCCATAAAGAAAAACAACTGTTAATTATTTGAAAGGCTTCTAATCTTCTTCAGCAAACGTATTTACTTTACCTATCGTAATTTTCATTTGCCCTTCGTTTTGGCATTTTCGTCTGTCGACCCGAAGCTAACGTTTACCGAGTCCCACAGCAAACGCGTTAAGAACTATAATAATCTGTAACAAATACCTGGATTTGATCCAAATGCCAATAAACATATTCTAGCAGGACGAATATAATGTCAGTGTCTGTATCCACTGAATAGATGAGATCTATCTCAATCGATGGTGGAGGGTTGACACGGCATCGAGAGCAGACATTTACGTTCCAACATGTTACGTATATACATTCCGCTACGATATGAAATATTATGACCGTAACTTTAACAAACTTATACGGAGCCTCGCTGCGGCAAATATTAACTTGTGAGCGAAACTCCTCTCGTCTCGGCAGCGCTCTAACATATGTTTCATAACGAACTGACGCAAAATGTCATAGAGGTAGCAGTAAGTTAAGCTATGCCGTTGCTATACTATAAACGAAAATTGATTGAAAATTTGCGTGATAGGAAGTTAGATGCTACCAAAAAAAGCTTTAAATACCGTATAGAAGGGAAAAACCTAGTGGATCCTATAGATGCATTTTTACGGTAGTTCATTAGTCTAGCTATAACGGTAAAGATTATTTATCTAATGCAATTCGATTGGAGTTTACGCGTTAATGTGCCTATGTTTGTGGACTTTGTTGTTTGTAGCCATTTAACGAGTGCTCTGTTGATAAACACTACGAAATGATGGTACTCACAAACATGTGCTCCGCTCTTCGTCTTTCCATATGGAAAAATTGATTGGCCCTCGAGGTGTCGCAGCGCAAAGCCTCCCTCTGGGCTTTTTTCGTCGAAATCTACAGCAAAGTGAGAATAGTCTTATATTATATCTACTTATATTATAATTTGATAGCTGACATCCGGTGTTCAGTTTACAAATATTCAAGTTAGGAAATTACATTTATTGAACATTTCTTTACATGTTGGAAAATTAGCAGCCATTGGTCCGGTGGACTCGAAAATACTCGACGGCCTGGCAAATAAGAATCCAAAGAATGAACAACTGCTTCAAGGTCGAGCGTTCTGTGCCAAGCTAGTTAGGTGCATCGTAGCTGTCTTGGTATGTTGTCTTTAACTTGTTATGTCCTTATCCTGACGCAGCGTGAGCCACAAGGTACAATTTGTATAGGTACAATAGAAGTATCCACTTTTCTTCGACAAACCGTCCCTGGCCGGTAGAATTAAACCAAGTGCCATGCTCGAAACCGTCTCGTGCTGTTGAATAGACCATCTGTTTATAACGCTTATCAGCAAACTGGGAAGTTGTTTAAGCTGAAAAGCATAGACGAAAATTGAAGCTTGCGGAAGGGATTAATATTGGCTGGAAAATTTCACTCGCTTTGGCCGAAGTCGCAGTGATCGAATCGACATAAAATTATCTGCAACTCTGTCGAAGTGCGAAAAACGCCTGATAAATGTTACACTTGCCTGCGCCGTAATAGCGATAGTTAGATGTGTTCCCAAAACTCACCATTTACACCAAAAGACTTCCTCCATTCAAGTGAGTATTTGGCAATTTCCACAGATCTATTAAGATCGCCTTTACCAGCAAAGATGTACCGTTTGCAAAAATGCAAATCTTCTTGGACACGACGGAAATCAAGTGGGTGAATGAAGGCTGCAATGAACGAGGCCAGTTGTTTTGGTTATTAAATGTATTATTATTATTAATTATAATATGATTGTTATGACGATCGTTATCACTAATGTGACCTCATCGTTAAGACAACCTCAGCATTTGCGAAGGGCGTCAACGAGTCGGAGCGTTAGTGATGCCTAATTGATTTATTAGTGAATTCCATGGGTAAAATGTAGCAAATAGTTACTGTCCATTGTCTATAGTTAATTATAGTTAGACGCAAGGCTTTTGCTTGGGCATGCAGAACGGTCATACTCAACGTAGATTACTGAGATAAAAACGTAGCCACAGTAAACGAAGCAGAATTATTTAGGCGTCACCCAGCTGCGTGATATTACTAGAAGAAAATCGAAAGTATCTTTGTTCAAAAGATAAACCCTCTGTTCGTAAACACGGCTACGATAGCGTGTGCCATAACAGAGAACGTTACGTTTTTCTACACTGAACAAAATCCCTTTTCAGGCCAATTACAGCCTTTGTGAGCAGATTGTACTGCACCGATTTGAGGGTTAATAGACGCTTCTTATTATGCCGGTCCGTTCAAAGCATAGCTGGATACCTGCCAGGAAAGATGACATTACTCCATCCGTAGAAAAAGCACTCAAGGGGACAGCTCGTTGGCGTGTTCGCAGGCAATTATGCCACGCGGATAATTTTGCCCGTGCTTTCTTGTCGTCAGCAGAAAGTGGATTTTCGAATATGGTTTATCATATCATCCCATAAGGTCTAGCAGTTGTAAGTAGAAGACCTTCGTATTTACCTCATCGCTTCGTAAGTGAATACTTCATCTCTGATTCTAGGCTGTTCTTACTTAACTCTGCACTGAGTAGATATTTTGGTTGGTGTCTTTAGAGAAAGACAGCGTCAGTCACGAACCAAATTGCCAGTTTCTCTAGAAAAAGAGCCCAGCTGTGTCGCCTTGACCAGATCTGAGGTTTTGCTAGCCAGAGTTATCTGACAGAGGGGCTTCTCATACCATAGCTGTTTCGACAGGAAGCAGACTTGCCTCAACATCATTGGCAAAGTGCCAAACGAGTTATGGCATTTTAGCTGAACGTCTGTGGTGTATGTATGATTCCTAATAAAACAGACGCCCAGCTGAGGTATGCGCTACGAACTTTTCAATTCATTGGCAATGTCGGACCGCTGAACAATCTGTCGTACGTCTGAATGGTGGAACGACCTGGCCAGAGGCGAACGCAAGAAAACGAGCTCAGAAGAGAAAGTTTTACAAGAGTTTCGGCGAAATTAACTAGATCACACCGCATAAGTCATGGAAGATTGCAGTGGTACTCATAGCCGGATCATGTAAGCGTATTGTGTTTTTTCGACGAATATCATTAACGTTAGCAATGAAGACCAACAATTCTAGCTATGGATAAATGTAATAACAACTATCAGTCAACAATATGTTTGTTGTTAATTCTACTGCGAGGTACGATCTCTTCGTATTGAAATACTGGCCTAATACTGTCTCACAAACTAGTGTGTTCGATTGTAAAGATAAGACAAATGATGGCTATTGAAAATCGTATCATTACCATTGTGTATTCTTCCAAGATGAAGATGCATTTGCCCTCCACTACCGTTCGACTATGCTAGCAGTGTCAAGTGATTGTAATGTTTAGATAGAATAAAGCAATGTTTTGTACTAAGTGCGATTCAATAATGATCAACTATATTTCAGCCAGAGAAACCCGCCTAGTTCGCCCAATTTAGCTTATATATATAACGCCACATAATTTGAGGGTGCAATTTTTTTTAAGACTTCTTCTATGTTAATCAAATAGTTGTTTCCCAATACATCGCTGATTTATGGCTGTAAATGGAGATCTTTTAATGTTTTCATCGGGTATACTGCTTTACCAATGTAAAACGGCATTCGCTAAACGAAGATTTCGATTGAACTTCAGCAGCAGAAAGCGGGATCGAGTTCAACACGGCAACAAAAAAGCTGTTATATGAACTACTAAAATGTTCCCGAGTACTATTTGCACGATCGTACGATGCTACCTGATGCTCGATGTAAAAAAAAAAACGTATCACGTTCCTGCTGGATCGATGCTGCGTTTCCATTCAATACGAAATTTAAACAAATGAGCTTGTCACAAAGTTACAGGTAACCGAATATACTCAATGACACTCCGCCCACGTGTGCCAATAATAAATGATCCTGGCAATCTCTGGCATTGCGAGGTTTGACATAAACAATGCGTGAATTCTAAGTGACCTCCCTTCCACGAGGATAGTCTCACGCAAGTAGTCCCTCAAACGCAGCATTTGCGAAGTTTTCTACATATCTTATACAAAACAGGCCCCACATTTAATCCTCAAGATGGACTTAAAGCCAGGCTAGGACCGAAGCTATGCCCAGACGCTGCTGCTGTAAATGGTACAAGTGCAGACCACTTCATGCGAGACGCGCACCGGGTTGGAAGAAAGAAGCTAGGCTGAGGAAAGAAGATCATCATTTCTATTGCTAGTATGCATACATAACATTCTTATCCAGTTATTCTTTCGATTTTGTCTACCATATTTGTAATGCTGATGCACTTATTATTGCAATGCAGATTTTATCAAAATGCTAGCAGATAATTATGTAACTTTTCTGGCTTTTCTAGCTGAACGACCGCTGTGGGGATATGGCACTTCTTTTCTGTTTGTCTGACACTTCACGATCTTCTTTTCAAAGGTCTGTTAGCTCTGACACGGCCCCAAGCTCTGACTGCTGGGGCAGGGTACGCGACGTAACAGCAGAAACAGCAACGACCGTTACTTGAATTGAGAGGAAATTAAAGAGAATGCTCAGGCGCAACAAATCCTTGTCGAATGGCGGTCTACTAAGACCACTGAGGATTACATAAACGAAACAGGAGCCAGCTCGATCAGCAGTAACAAATCTAATAATGAATACACAGGCTATATTCTGAGAGTTCCGGAAAATCCTGATCCGAAAAAAAAAGCGATAAAAACTTTTTCTATTCTCACGATGTTTAATTAACCACATGCTATGTATATCAATATATATATTGCAACGACAAATACTCGAATCGAAAAATACCACTCGACTGTCAAAGGAGCAAGACCTCAAGCCATGTTGAAACGGCTGAGCGAAGCCACGGTAATAGTCGAAGCACTTAGCTGGTTACGATTTAAATTCGAGTTAAGTATATCTCTAAAATGAGATCATGCGTATATATAGTCACAGCTAGAGACTGTATAAATTATGTTATTTACGACAGTCAGTAATGTTTGATTTCGAACGTATGTTAGCGAGTCATTCCTGTATAAGAAGGGCCACAGCGTGTCCTGACATCTGTCCGTCAACAAGCAATATCCTCGATCCAACCCTAGTTGACCTGACACCTTATCTATATCTGAAGTTACAGCACCGACTTCATAGCTTAATCTAAACACATTTTAAATAAAATTGTTCTCACGTGAGCCCTCGATTGCAACAGACTCTCAGCAAAGTCTATCATAGGAAGTGCTACAGAGCGGCTGTCGTGCCAATTATCAGGAGCGATGATTGAGGTCAAGTATACCGGTATCATGCAATCAATTTTTACTGATGAGTGTATATAAAGGCCAACAAAAATGCTTGGAAAGCCATTTATTGTATTATAACTTTATATATACCCTTTATGAATGCGGTAGACTTCGGCTCATATGAACCTGAGAGGAATTAACTGGGGTGCACCGTCAAGTGTGAGTTCAACTAACGATATCGTACTATATTTTTCCGGTTCCTGAATGTACTCACGAACTGGTGAGCTAAGAACCTACCACTGCGAACCCCTGGCTTCGCTTGCCTATCACGAATTTATTATCTGCAAAAAACAAATGAGAGCTCTGGCTTTATCGGAATACCCGTTTTCATAATAAAGTCAGGCGAAATGCCAAAATTTGGTAGAATAAGGATACCACGAACTTCTTTCTTCTCTACAGAAGACACATGTGTATGGATAACTTCTAAGGCTTTTGCTCGGATCCATTTTGTCACTTCACAATCTAACTTAGATAGGTGAATGTTTTTTGAAGAACAGCTTTTTGAAACTCCAATGCTAGAGTATAAACTGTACGCAAGTCATCGGCCGGTTCTATAGGACGGTTCATGCTACCATCTAAAACCTATTTAGGAGAGCGGTAAAGTCAGAAATTGGCTAGGTCTTCCACTATCTTATTCGGCCACAAACTCACACGATAGTGGCATTTTGTCTTGATCCAAGATGACCCACCAGGGCATCATACTGAATAGCGCACATTGGCAAGTATACAGAATTTACGTCTTAATCAAGGCTGCATACATGGGGGCGAACTGTTGTTGGAACATGACATTGAACCTGGTGTTCTAAAGTTCTAACGTACTGAAGTAGTACGACAGTGAAGTCGTATAGTTCTAAGATTACCTAATATGACACAAGGATCCCAACATAGACTTGCTCAACCTCATATCCGACTTCACTTGTTATTCATTGTTTATAATAAAAGAGCATTCGGTTAACATCACATACAGTAAACTAATTGCAGCCCCAGTACGATGAAGGAAATCTGTAACAATAGCTACGTGTTTGTTCCACGTTAATAAATGCTAAAAAATAGCTGAACAAATACCTAATAAATAAATCAGGCCGATAAAGCAACTCCAAAAATGTGCCTATTTGTGTGTTGATTACGAAGATGAAGCAGGGATCGACATATGATAGAATGCATGCAGAATGGTTGGCAACCTCTTCAATAATCACCACGAAACCTGAAGTGAGCGGAGAGAGGTTTCGCATATCCGAAACTCAGTATGCTTCACATTGTACTTTTTAACATACTTCATGCTTCAAATAACGTACTTCAGTAAAATGGGTATAGTGCCGGTCTAGAATACGGTGCGCAGCCAAGTGACTGGCGCGATCTTTGTCCGTGGGCTACTGTCAACGGACCGACAATATGAATTCTAAAAGGGCCTTGCGTGTCATATCCTGGATAAATAACCGTTCTTCTTTTCAGCACAGTCAGCGACAGTATGCGTAGCGCCCACTGAACACGTCATCCATGACTCTTCGCTATGCCCGCGTCGCCAACGAAGCCACGTTGCATCTGCTTGTCTACAATTGTGTTGGCTTTCCTTATTGGCGCGGAGTTCCGTGGGGGATGCCCGATGCTTCTTACAACAGCGTTTTTCTGTTACAACAGTAAAAATACGGTCGAAGACAACAACAGCCATCGTTGTCGAAGCGTGAGGCAACAGTGCGCCACCAATGGTAGGCTTGGTCCGTTCGTATCTAATACCAATTTAGCAAATATAGGGGGAATCATGCGCGGAATTGTGCCCCGTGCGGGGCCAACAGGAGCCGTTCCGGGGTGCGCGCCGAGTACGATGCTCCGCTTTACTTAACATTAAAATAAGTGCAGTGGTTGTATGAGTGGCGGAGGTCGTGAGAGTGATTAAGCCTGTGATTACATCGGTGCAGACAGCGCCGCTAGCGATAAGGATGATGAAAAAAAAAAAGTTTTTTTTTCTTTTTTTAAAAAACTAGCTGTATGACAGCGTTAGGTGGCTTTAATATTTTCAGTAAACTTAAACAAACATATGACATGTTTGTTTAAGCAGGCAGGCAGGCAGACAGGCAACTTGCCTTATAAAAAGGAAAAACAACTGACGTACGGTGAGTACAAGGAAAGGTGAGAACGTTTCGACGGCTAGAGCATCGTAGTTGTCGTAGTACAGGCAGACATGAGTCGTGATCATTACAACCATTTAAAAAATGAATAGTAGAAACTTCAAATATGCCGGCTGTTAGAGTCATCCGTCGTAGGCGTAGATATAACGCGCTACTGAACTTTATTTAGGAATACGTCTATAGTCCGCCAGCGACAACCTAGCTAGCCACCAATTTACAGGATCATAGAGCCGAGCAAATTCCTACAAGCAATGGCCGCAGAGCTAAGCAGATTTGCATCTAACAAGAAAATAAAGTTTCCACTTAGAATTTTTTTTTTAAATTTTGCGCCATGACTTCAATTTGTATTGTGTGTTTATAATGAGGATGCTACTTTATAGATGGGATAAATGATGAGTTACGAAAATGGCTCAAGAGTACATCATAGTACGACCCCAACTGCGTCCAAGTGTCCCGCAATACAAGTAATTCTTAACAAACCATCCTGCACATTGTTCAATTAAATGTTTCGCCTTAAAATGAGATCGTAGACGACGAATATGTTGCGGGCAGGACAACTACGGCCGTATTAAGGACTACAAATATACTTTTATTTATTCTTTGGTTCCGAACATATTTGTTATGTTATTGGACCCTGAATAGGCTATCAGATTTCTGCAACAGGACTAAAGTCACTGCCTCGATGATTGCTCGCTGCTGATGAGTGCAATTAACAAATCGATAATCGTATATAGGGTAAATCTTTGATTCTAGGTGGTCAGTGTTATTAATGGCCCAATTTTCAACAAGATGGATTCAAATTTTGTCAGATTCACCTAATCTCCCGTGACCGTATCTATACGTATCCAAAGCGAAGCTCTAACAGCTCCTGTTGTATGAGGAGTTTGACCGTTACTGTGCTACTCGATAGAGCCAGTTTTCACGTTAAAAGTCGGGTATAACGAAATTAAGTTTATGTGCTCTCAACTGGGCAAATGCTAATGTAAAAATCTATCTTCTGCAATTGCGATAGCATTCGATGAAGCCGAGGTACACAATAGGCAAATTGTCCTTTTACGAACTTCGTTTTGAACGATGTATAAAGATCCACCAATCTGGGGCCGACATGCTCAGTCCTTACGTCTTAGATAACTCATTCAATAGAATTGTAAAACAAATCACAAAGAGATTTGAATCTTAATAAATAAATAAATGAATAAATCTGCAAAGAAAACACGGTGCACGGAGCAATTGCTGGTCAGGAAAACTGTATCTATGGGTCGGCCAACAAATCTAGATTTGCACATAGGACCTTGCAAGCGCATCATTGCCCATTTTAAAATCACTTCACGCTTTACTTGTCGAGAGGCTAGAAATCATTTTGACCATGAATATCACAACAAATATGTAAAATTGTAGAAGATGTCTCACATGGATCTTCGTTGACGAGGTTGTTGATTGCTTCGCGAAATTTCTTCACGTCTTCGGAAGAGGCCTTTCGAATCGTTGTAATATCGATTACTAGCTCCTTGTTTGTCATCTTTTTAGCCTCTTTAAAGCCTGAGCTAATTTTGACACACAATTGCTTATAACTGAAAGGACAGACAGAACAGAACCGTTATAGTCGGTCACCATGAATGATATATGCATCATACATAGCGAATATTTAAGAACGATTTGCCGCTTTTGCGCAGACGAGCTCCAAAGGACAGTATTTAACCTGTGCTCGAGTGCAGCACGAGTTTGGAATGGCTAAAACCAGCACTTACCTTGACCGTGATTATATATGGGCTTTAATTAGGGACAATTAAATCTCGTGTCAGAAATGCTGCTCGCATTGAATGAACATAACTAAAAGGCGAAGGAGGAATAGGACAAATGACATTAAATAAATTTCACTTAATCCCGTTTTTATTATTTAGACATTATAGGAACCATTAGGTAAGCCGTAGTGATATTAAAATATTCAGTAATCACCTATAATAGAAATCGCAAGTATACGTTCCAAAGCGTATCCTCCGTTTTTGGATTTACGATATGATCATATCTGTAGGCACCTCAATACATGAAGCGCCTTTTTTATACGAATGAAGGCAATCGGGACACTCTTAATTTCCACAGACGAATATGGACAAACTAAAGATATTAAGAGTACCAAACGTTCATATTTATTGCGCTTGGCATTATCATAGACTAGAAGATTGATAGATTCGCATGTAGAAAAATACTACTACAGTACAATACAATCATTGTCAACTTTTCGGCGGCTTTTCTGTTGTAGTAAGACTTTTATTTCGAGTTTCGTCACAAAAATGCCCGTCTTTTTTCGCAGCACACTTGTTTTTCACCAGAAATCGCGGCCGGTCGTAGCGCGTATCGCACCGTGACGGCATGAGAGGAGCAACTGTTGCGTGGCAGTCTGAAGAACTGCTAAATGATGTTATCGAATCCATCACACTGCCGGCCTGCTGCGTTGTGGGCGATCAGAGTCAAACAGATCTCCTTGTCTGAGCTGACAGCCAGCCAGCCAGCCAGCCAGCCAACCAAATTCTATTGACGCCCCATTCCTATGCAAAGCGTGCGCTTTGATAAAGGCAATAAGCAGCTGAACAAAGAGCAGCCTGCTCTCTTTTCCACTTTTAGTTTGATCAGGCAGGCAGCTGGGACCTGCCGACGCCCACGTCTCTTCCAAGTCGCCAATGACTGTAGGTAAATAGAAGCTTCCGCCGATCTTTGGTGCGTCCGGGCTTAAACCAACAAGACAGCGAACTCAGTTAGAACGCAACAGAAAACACATGATGAAGACATTAGGTACACATCATAGATGCAGCGGCGGAAAAACGTCGCGCAGGGGCAAATAGCCACAAAGAATGACTACTGAAGCAAGCGGTAAGAGTTTAGTACGTATGCCTTGCAGGGTCTTGGATGCAGTAGTTTAACTAACAATAGAAAACACAATTATTAGTTGTTATTCAAGGAATTCCTTTCTGTGGCAACTCTTTTACTCAGTGTTATTATTAGTCATCTACGGAAGCCTATGACGCAAACGGTTCGCCCGCGGAGCGTATTCCAAAAAGGCGTGCTAAGAAGTTACTAAGTTGAACTGGAACTGATTAAACAGTGAAATGCACACAGTTCGTCTATTGCTCGCTCTCATTAATTCTGGCTGATGTTGACTAGAACAGACCTGAGACAGCGCACACGAATGCACTACACGGATGGAATACTCTTTTGCTTAGTCCGCTGCCGACCCTTTCAAAGAGGAATCCTTTGCCGCCGCTACCCTCAGCCCCTGGCAACTCATACCTCCTTTCTCACGGTTTGACGGTCTCCGCTGTTCTCCCTTGGCCGGTCGCAGTCTGCCGAAGTACACTTTTCTCTTCGCCAGCAAATAGGCCAGCGGATATGCGCTGTGCAAAAGGCGCGCTGATGCTGCTCGTAGTTAGAATAATGTCGGCTTAATGAGCATAAATACCCTCGTGTATAGCGGCGCACTTTTCAGTTTTTCTCACCATTCCTTTCACTTGGAGCAGGCGTTGTGCGTCGTCTTTCCAGTCCTCCTCTCGCTGAATTAGTCGCAAGTCATGACTCCACCGAAGCAGCACTAGCAGACAAATGACGTTTTCATCATCGCCGAAATAACGGCGTCAACGCCAACATTAACAGCACAGAAATTATCATCGATACGGTTGCCGTATATCACCGTACCGCGCTCAACACACCGAGAGATCACTGGCGATCGACGAGTAAAAATCACTTGCAGGACAAGAATAGACAGCGGTTGAAGGCGACGAAAGATGGGATCGAGATGAAATCTAACTGACCGTCTTTCCATTGCTGAACAGTAAAATCAGTACACGGGAACAAAAAAGAAAAAAAAATTGTTAAAGCGCTAGACGCCTTGCCTATCGTTACTGTGAGCCGGTTTGGGCAACGAATCGCGAGCAGCACGCGTTAACCGGTAATGAAGAAAAACAAAACAAATAGGTTTTTGATATTTGACGCATCTAGTGTTAGGTGCACGAATCTATACTCGAATTTTAATGCAGAGGATTGGTGATAGGGCTGTTGTGAGACAGAGAAAATAGGTTTTCTGGTAATAACGTGTTGACAAGAAGACAATGTAGAGGTGTTTCCAGTCCCTTTTAGGATACAGCTTTTTCGATCCTCTTCTATCATGCTGTGCGTAAACCTGTCTCAGGTCCCGCTCAGTTAGACAAGATCTTGACAGTATTGTTAATTCAGAGGAACGAGAAACACGGCATGACGCATGTTTCGTGGGCAATACGTTTACGTTAATTGTTGTCCAACACGTCAATTAAGTGCTAACTACAGTCAGAGATGTGGGAAAGCTTTAGAATGCGAACCAAATGAAAAAAATGCTAACAGGAAATCAATTTTTCACACATCGGATCACCTTTAATGCTGAGATCGTAGTAGTTACACTAATGTAGTCCTACGACCGAACTAGTAGTAACGCGAAATTCCCCGACGGAAGAACTGGATCGTTGCATTATCGTGGTCATACATTGATTTTTTTTTCTGACAACCAAATCAGAAGTTTATACCGCGGGGCGTCCTTCAATAACGCCGATAGAAACAACTCACTGCGTATTCTTCTAGAGGTGTACACGCGCACCCACCGATGGCAAGAGGTACATAAAGCATATGAAGCCTCAACAGATTAAACAATTATACTTGGACCAAAACCACACCACATGACGCTATAACACAGTTGTAACTTATACCACAATACTGTTATGCCGTGGTATTGAAAAGCTTGAAGTCGTGAGTCGCCCTGTAATAACAATGGCGGCAAAGACCGGTTTCGTACTTTAGCAAGATAATGAGACGAGGAACAGCACCCCTATGATATCGGCATTCACAATAAAAAAACGCTTTATCACATGAGAATCTAGCAGATCTCTCTATCCGTTTGTTACGTCCGTTGTATTACGTGATTATTATTGCGCCATGATTTGGACAGCATACAAAGTTAGGCTAACTTACGGGACTCACTCTCTGAAGTATACTCTTCAGGGGAAGTACTCATTGATGATGTCGAAACGGCATTGTCAAGGAGAAATATTGCCTCCTTTATACTGTGTTCTAAGATATCAAGATGCTAATTTCCAGAGCAGTGTCTAACCGAAATCTGATTAAGGCCTGGTTTAAAACAGAATCTTCAAATTCGTTTCCCTTGAAAGTTAACTTAACTTATTTGCTATAAGAATATTGAAGCATTAGCTATAAAAACGTAAGGGGTGTATGCATTTATGGAAGTCTAATGTGAAGTTCTAGTGTATCAGTGGAGGCTGTTTGACAAAGGGTCCTGTTCGCTTTAAACAAACTCCGTTCCAGTTCTATTTAAAATCAAGACGCAACCAAAATGTCCAGCACCTTTCTCAGGTGGACTCACCATCTGCAGCTACTGCTGATGAACAATTTTTAAATATTCCGTCATCATTTACTTATGTCGCTGACAGGTGTATATCTGAGTTAGTTAATGATAATAGTATAATATAGAATCAGATTGAAAAAATATAATTTTTACAGCGAGAATCGCATTTTGGAATTATTCCGTAACGATCCAACAGTTGCTAGCTGCGTTGGTCTCTATTATAGCTTGATTTGATTTGACGGGTACTTTGACACAGATGCTCACATTTATCTGAAGAATCAATCTACTAGATAGTTCAATTTTTTTCTTCTGTAAAACGGCAGATATAACCATCTACTGCTCTAAATCCGACCACTTGTCCCTTCAGCTAACCGGCTCAACAATGGACAACGCAACAGTTCACACCATAATTAAAGGCTTCACTCAAAGGTCTTGAAGACGTAAGCTACAGGTATAAAACTAGGCCTAACTTTAAGTAACTCCGGCCAATTCCAGTCCCAGTCAACTGCAACAATTTATAGCATTTAGGTGACATCGCAAATATTCGATACGTTTTGAAACACCTATAAGCGTTTCCGTAAAGCGGTTTCAAGAGAACTGACCGTAAGTCCATTAAATGTATCGACCGTAACCGAGATATTGGCATTTTAACGCCACTTCTTTTCGAAATTTTGTTGGTGTCAGTTGGTGATTGATATGTAAGATATTCGCAAAAATGCTGTCAGAGAAGTCCTCCGGCGATACGTGGAAATTTTATTAGTTCGAGGCAAAAATTAAGCCGCAGAAGGGCCTTCGTAGAATCTGTTAGGAAATCGGGCTTCAATGTTGGGGTAACGGTCTCGATATCTCGAGGTAGACGGGGGCGAATACTGGCAAAAAGAATGCGACCACCTCTATTTTCGATTGCTGTTCAACTCCACATGGTAAAAACCTGATTCGATCTGTCGTATGGCCAAACGTCAACAGAGAAACCTTTAGATACTACAATCGAGCCGCTTAAGCTACCGAATTTGTCACCATAACCCGCTAAAAGGTAAACGTCGAAGACCCTCTTGCGTAGGTAAGCTTTATCGCGTCCTCTCTGTATAAAGGTAAAATCTGTGGCGATCTTTTTCATGTTACGTAATCTGTGTGAACGAGGAAAAAGTAATGCCGGAATTTACAGCCTTGAAACTACCAGCTAACTAACTT